ACATGCGATGGATGAGAGCTGGAGCGATGATTGGAGTGATCCGTTGAGTTGGGAGTTTGGGGGTTTTAGGCCGTTAAGTGGGGAGTTCGGTTTGAAAGGCTAAAGGCGCCTTTAGGCGCACAAAGGCGACTTCTTTCTCTTGACTAGCAATAGCACTTTTCAGCTCCGGTCCCTCATCTGACTCATCGGGCAATACCCAAGATAACATGGCGCCTCGACGCAAGAGCAAGCAGAATCGACGCCTGGGGCAAGCCCACGCTTTGCCTGGTGCGGCATGGAAGGCATGGATGGCCCATGTGAAGCAGGAAGCGCAGCCCAAGTACTACTTTGCACTATGGCTAACCCAGGCATTCTGCTTGCGTATCACCCAGTGCCTCATGTTGAAGACAACGGACGTTGACTGGAAGCTGAAGCGCCTATATATAAAGGCGTTCAAGGGACACCGGGCATGCTGGAAGCCCATGGTGCCCAGCGTGTACGACTTTATGAAGAAGGTCTACACCGCGGGAATCAAAAACCGCGCTCAGCAATCATGGTTGTGGCCCCGCAAGGGGTACCTATTCCCTTCCTCGCGCAAGCATGCAAAAAAAACCCACATGACCAAGGATGCCGTGAGCCATATGATCGTCAAAGTGAGGAAATCCTTTCTGGACAAAAATCCCCACTACAAGAGAGATAAGACCATCAGATCGCACTCGGGCAGACGCCACGCAATTTCCAGCTTCGCGTCCGGAGGCCTCTCACAGGATGTGGGCATGATTTGGGCACAGATCAGCAGCGTCCGTGTGTACCAGGGCTACATCGACTGTGATCCAGAACACGTGGCTCCACAACTCAAAGCCTTGGACAAGCGCCAACGCATAGGGTGACCATGTACTGTACGATACAAGTAGTGTTCTGCCTCTACCGTGTCAACCTAAGATTTTTTGGAGTGTTTCGCACGCTGCATCGTCAAAGGCATAAATCTTCAAAAGACAGCCGCAACCTAAACCCTCATCCCCCAAACGCCAAACCCGAAAAAACCATAAACCCCTAAACTCTACTCCCCTAAAGCCCCTCAAACGAAGCCCTTCAACCCTATACCCCTAACCCGAATCAAAACCCTAAACCCTCATCGCTGCAAGACAAATCAATGGTGCCATTGTGGCTGGACTCCGCATCGGTCCGAAAACCCAACACCCCGAACGGTTCCAGCCCACGGCAGGAGGGGGTGCTTGGCCTTGTTGGTGCATGTCCTGGCTGCGGTCTGGAGCCTACATTCTTGTAAGTCCCATGTGCACCTTAAGGTTGGAAGCTTGTCGGTCCCTAGCATCTTTGTTTTTGGGTTTGGTCTTCCGCTTCCTACTGGGGTCCCTTATAGTCAATAATGTGTCTTGTATATAGCATTACATAGCTAGATTAGCTTAAAACTCGAAGCATTCCAAGAAAACATATCGTCCTGGATCCCTGGTTTAGCTAAGAAACCATTTGCAGCAAATTATCTCGGGAAGCAAACCCTGACTATATCAATGCCCTGGCACCTGGACCCTTTAAGGTACGGTTTTACTGTTTTGGTTTTGGGCGCAGGTTTCGTCAGCAGGTTGCTTCGACTTTCTGTGTAGGATTTTAGGGTTCATGCAGGGTTTAAGGTTATCTTGTTGTGTCACCGACAGCGGCCTAGACACGAGCGAACCCTACACGTGTACATCCTGAACGACTGCCCGATACCTTTTGAGCGCACTGCCCCTCTGCTACAGTCACTCACTCCTGGCGTCCAGGAAAGGCGCTGACTGGAAGTGCGAGGCTGCTCTTCAACCACGTGCCAAATCTTGCGCAGAGGCACGCATGGCATCGGCAGATTCCCAACTGGCTTTCATTGCCGCACGAGGAACTAAGCCTGACACAGATAGCAAGATGCGCAACAATCTTTCCAGCAGATGCACGGACATGGCGTTGCCTATCATTTTCCCTAATTGTGCAGGGGATACACATTCCGGGTCGACATCTCTGGGACGGATTCCCATGGTTCTCAACATCTCTCGTATATTCATTCGACGGCCTCTATTCATCAACCAGTGTGATTGACTGCTGCAGCGCGCACGTGTCAGGCAGGGCACGATACCTTGCATCCAACGAGGGCCCCAGCTAGAGTCAATGTCAACCGCAATCTCTGAGTGGAACGGATGAATCTGCAATTGCTCAATGATCTGTCTGCAGGCTTCCACGAAATTCCTGCGGGCGGTGGACTGCGAGGCAGGCGGCATACAGCTGGGCAGAACGGGGCTTTGAAGGGGGTCTAGAATGGTGTTCAACCTGATGTAACCGACAGCTTCTGGCCAAATCCATGTTCCTTGCAGGCTGTCTTTATCGATGCCAATAATGAAGAGTCTTTCTCGGTTCTGTGGTAAACCGTGCTCGCAGGAATTCATCACTCTACACTGTACCGAATATTTCCGATTGTGCATGGAGACGAGGACTCGCAGCATTGCTAGCAAGGTAGAGCGGTGCGTGGCAGTTGTTAAGCCTTTGACATTCTCCAGCAGGAAGGTGCGTGGCTGCAGTTCCCGTATAGCATGCAGCATACACCCTGAGACTTGACCGCGAGCATCTGACAGCCCGGCATCCAAACCTGCGTTCGAGAAGGTAGCACAGGGACTGCCGCATGTATAGAGGTCTATGCGACCGCTGTTCCATTCCCGGAAAGAAGCACTGCGATCTACCGTCACGTCGTTGAATTCGATCAACGCAGGTCCAAAGTGGCGGAGAGCAAAGGCACGTGCAGAGGCATCTATCTCAGCACGTTGGACGCACTGGAAGGGAACTCCCAGGTATTTCAGGGCCCAAAGTGGGCTTTCCATACCACTGCAATCGCTCCACACTTTCACAACGTGTGTATGCCTAGGGCAGACATGCCTTCCACCAGCCATCGCAGAAGTGAGGGATCTCGGGCTTCAAGGGTTGTGCTAGATATTGCAACGGATTTCGTGGTTGCCGACAAAGCACTCGAACGCAAATGCTGCAGATACGCTGTACCTGAGGACATGGTGGCCTGTAAGCTCGCTTGCCTGAACATGCGTGCGTGGCTCCTCGATGCCAGGTTGTGAACTTCTTCAGCTCGGCGACCTTGGCAAGGCTGGCAGAGATGGAGACATACTATTACTAAGAGATTTTTTGGGCTTGTGTTCGAGCACGCAGGCAACGTTTGCTCTCCATGCCATGCCAGGTGTCTGCTTCGTGCCCGCTGTTTATGAATCTGGACTACTATTCGGCGGATTTCTTGAACTCAAACTGTGCAGTCTGAGAAAACCTCGCAGTAGCAATGCCTGCTTCAGGGTGGGCTCAATTAATGTCATGGGCAACTTCGCCGCTGGCTTAGCAGGGCGTAGCTGCAAGAAGGCCGGCCCTCCGGGCGCGGCATATGACTGTTTCGGAGTTGACATCAAAATCACTCCTGATCACATGTGTCTGGCAAGCATGTACACACTTTCAAGCGTGCTCCGCACTGCTGTCCCTTGCTCAGGCAGCCTCCTCCGCCTGCCGGGCCTCCGCTTCGATTGAATCGAGGAGACTTTGCAGGCCTCGACCAGGGATGGTTTTCACCCGCTTCAAGCCAGTCGCACGCGACACAATAGATTACAAAGGTTAAGGAGTGGATCAAAAACAATAACAAGCTGCAGTTCGAGGTTCAGGGGGCGTAGTTAGTAGGGTTTATTCATCTGTAGGGTTTCGGGTGCTTACTGACAGGCCTGGATTGGCAACACCGGTCTCGCCACTGACGAGTTTCTTTTTCAGGTTCAGAGCAAACCTGCCGGCACCCTTTCCGCGCCTGCCCTTGCCCCTGCCACCGCCACACTTGGGCTTCGACCCTGCACCCTCACCTTCATCACCCTCGCCTTCCCCTTCACCCTCACCTTCACCCTGGCCACCCTGACCCTCGGCACCATCCTCTCCTGCTCCAGCACCCTGCTTGCCCTTCCCGCGTTTGCCCTTGCTCCTTCCCTTGCCCCTTCCCCTGCCCCTTCCCTTGTTCTTCTCGGTCCCTTCCTCCTCTTTCTCTTTCTTGGCAAGGTCTGCAACCATGACGGACTCGTACAGTGCTGGACAGTTCTCGTCCCCCATGAGGTTGAGAACTCGCTTCACGATGCGATCGTAGAGCTTGGTTTTGTGAATGGCATTGTTGCAGAGGGCAACGTATGGCACTCCATGACAGATGCACGCTACTGCGAAGTTCTCATTCTGAGGCGTGAGATCTGTGGCAGTTCCAGCCCAGTAGCCGTGCACCATCTCACGCCAAAAGTTCACGCTGTTACCGTGCCATGCTACAGGCTCCACATCGGTGAGGGCTTTGCGACCTCCTCCAAGACCCTCTCCGCCGCCCAAAGGACAGGGCCCGCTGCCTTCCTTGCGGGTGTCCCCCAAGATCTCCCTTTTCTCGACCACAGGCAGGAGCCACTCCACCTTATCATCATTGATGTCCTGCAAGAGACCAAGGTACACCAGCAGCATAAGCATCAGAAGCAGCAGGGGCAGTAGCAGCAGGGGCAGGCGGAGGAGCATCAGTAGGAGGATAATCTATAAACCTGTAGACATTAATTCGTGGCTTAACATATAGCAGTGCAGTTTATGGGTAAAAGGTCAGGCATTCATAGTTAAAGGATAACTACCGGTCTGTCCTCGAGAGTCACAGGCCCCAGGTGATTGAACTTGTTGGAAGACGTGTCTTTAGAGAAGAAGAGCCGCTTGCGTGACTCCACCGCAAGTGGATCCAGGGTCATCAAGCAGGCATGTTCCACGACGTCCATGTCGATGTCATGGCACCTTAGACGGGTTCGACGGAGGAGTGTAGACTCGTCGTACGTGATGTATAGGATCTTTTTGGCCCTCTGCATCCTGTTGTTCTCTGTGCTGAAAGCCTTCTCGAATGTCTGGATGTGCTCGTGCTTGCAGGCGTCGAAGAAGCAATAAAGGCTCTCATTGGTGACGTACATGGCGTCGTCATCCTCCTCTTGGCATCGCGCTTTCAGGCAAGCCTGCACTGCTGCAAGCATGTACGTTGGCCGGTGGACTGGCTTCCGCACATGTGGCCGTGTTTTGCATTCACCCTCGGTTTTGCAGTCATACACATGCATGTGATAGTGCTTATCCGAGGGAAGTGGCAGCTTGTATGTAGCACAATCCCGGAACATTTGGTACATCTCCTCCGAACTCGAGTTCGATGGTCGCACCAAAAGCTCAACATGCCGTCGCACCTTATCCACCGCTTTGGCCTTCCAGCGTGCCCATGCCTCGGCCATCTCATCATCCATATCCGCAGTCTCGTCCTCCTGTCCTGCGATGGGCTTCACGCCCTCTTCGCTCTCGCCATCTGCCAGCGGAGTCACTGATGGCTGTTCCTGGTCTGTCATGCACTTGAGCTGCGCGGCTGCTTCCGCTTTGGCCTCGGTCCGCAGCTGCTCCTGCATCTTCTGAAGGTTGCCGACAGCAACCCCGATCGAGCCGTAAAGCAGCGCATCTGCCGGCACCTTGCTCAACTTGACACAACTCCGGATGCAGGTGTCGTGCAGCTTGCTGAAAATGATATGGTCCACGAGGTCGACGAAGCTACCCTGTGAACCCGAAACATTAAAGCCTCCCAAGAAAAACGTATAACAATTACCCAGCCACACCGCAACCTTAAAGCTACAAGAACAGCCACGTGGCGAGTAGGTCAGAAAGACTGCAGCGCCAGCTACGCACAGCACCGGTCTCTCTAAAGCCACAATGGTCCCTGAAAGCCTCATCCTTCTGCAGCTTGTCTCGCACGCTCGCCGCATCCTGCGCCAAGATTTCAGGGTTTTAAGCGAAACACTTTGAAGGTGCCAGGCATTTTGGGCTCCATTGAGTGTTCGTTATTATTAGGAGTTCAAGGGTTTAGGCTTTAACGCTTTAGGGTTTGGGCCTCCTTCCAGGATCCCCCTAAATGCCCTCTAAAGCCCTTGTGGTCCTTAGTATTTCCCAGAATCGAAAAAAAAACCAGTTTCAAGCCTTCCCAGCTAGTTTGAAGCCTCCCCAAATTGAAAATATATGGATTTCTACTAGAAACTTGCCTAAATTGCTTAAGACGAGGCTCCAAACTGGATTCGCCCTGTTGAACCAACTGTTGGGTTTGAACCCGACCCACGGAAAACCCGGCCTCAACCTTAGCATTTAGGGCTTGAGTATAGGGTTTAGATAAAGTTCAGAAAGGTCACAACAGCACGGGCGGCAACGTGGCTTTGGTAGACACACGCAGCCCTGCAACCCTGAACCCTACCCCCTTAACCCGCAAATCTTAAACTCTATACCCCTGAACCCAACAAATCGACAGCCGTCCTGTGGGGTAATGTCCAACTTCGCCAACTCGGTGTGTAGCAGTTCCTGGAGCAGGTCGTACTTGAAGGCGATGACGTGAACAGGGTTCACTTTCTCAGCACCGGAAAGTCGACTCTTGGTTATGTCATCCTTAGACAAGATTTGGGCTCTGGCTCCATCCAAGATCCCTTCGAACACCCACGCCAATTTGGCAGGCGGTACCTTCTTGCATGCCAAGGTTATGTGGTACATCTGCTGGACCGAGGAGAAAGGAGAATCTTGATTGAACTCCATCTCGGCACGCTGGATGGTGTCTAGGATCCCGGGAGCAGCCTCGATTTTGTTCCACAGAGAGAAACAGTTTTCGAGGAAACCGAGGGAGGGCGCTTCGGACTCCTTGGACCAGTGACAGCCTTTGAAGTACTGGTAGACTTTTTCTGTGGTGACCTTTCCGGCTGGTCCTTTGATCTCCTTCTTCTTCTCCACCATGAAAAGCATCATGCTCAGCGGAGTCCTTTTGATGGCGCGCACATCGTCTGTCATCTTCTCACGGAGAGAGATCGACTCTTTGGCCAAATCTGCATTGGCGGCTCGTGAGACCACCTGCAGGGCTCCAGCTAGACCCCAAACCGTAAACCCTGAACCCTTGAGGTTTCACAAAACCCTAGCTACAAAAAATGGCCCTTGCGCACTATGTTTTCTGGTGTGATTTTTTTGCTCGATGCACAACATGCAGGCCTTGTAGTGCACATTCAGCAAGAGGCGTTGGTATGCTTGGATGTCCTCCTCAGTCTCTGCCATGGCAGCTGCGTAGAGCAGGGCAAACACAGGCTCCTCCGGCGACAATCGTTTGAGTTTCCCTTGCAATGACATCAAGTCGTCGTCCATGCCTTCGGTGGCTACTGTGATGTCGAAGGGGACGGCCTCGGGCGGACCGTTGTTGTAGTGCGTCTCCAACTGTTCCAAGATGGACGCTCGATTGACAGGCAGCGTTGGCCAGGGACGGTACCGAATGTCATGGAGGAAGATGCTGCCGTTGAAGCGAAACATGGCTCCCATCGACAAAGCCTGGGAACAGGCCTCCTGAGAAAATCTCGCTCCACTGCCTCCCTCTGTGACGGACAGGGCAGGCATCTCCTCCAAGTTCGGGTACTTGTCGAACAGCTGGGTGATATGCTCCTCGAAGTCCATCGTGAACTGCTTGTTGAGGTTAGGCCCATTCGAATTTTTTTCTGCCGGCGCAACTCTCTGAGACTTCTTCGGGGGTGGCTGTGCCGCATCCACAATCGCTTTGCGACCTGGGCTGTGGATGCAAGCTTTTTAAGACAGCAAACCCAACCCACACCAGAGTCAACCGAAAGCCCTGAGAGAACGAGACAGAGAGAGTGTGTGAGAGAGAGAGAGAGAGAGAAACAGAGAGACTACGATCATACAGCAGCCAAACCACGCGACATCTTGCTCCAGGTAAGGCTGGGGTTGCAAGTGTGACTGATGCTCTTGGCTTCGGACGAGCAGCATTTCATGTGATATCCCCCGCCTAGTTGACACAAGCCATGGTTCAAAACACGAGTTCTTGAGCGGGGCCTTCCTAGGAAGATCCGTTCCCAGAGCCAGCCGTAGCATGGTTCTGAATCGGCCGTCGCACTGGGGCCCTGTGCCTGCTTCTGGGTCTTGCGGGGATGCCTTCCGGGGCTGGGCTAGGAAAAAACCTTCCTAGGAAGATTTGCCCTAAGGAGTCGGGTGTTCTGCTATGTCTTGGGTCAACCTGTGCCGGCAACCCTGACCCACCCAAACCGACGATGCAGGGGAGCCGGAGGTCGCGGCGCAGCTGTTGCGACTCCAGCTCGTCCTTCCGCAACCTGTGCGCTGCTCAAGGACTTGGGGGCGCGGGAGGTTTTGGGGCTTATAAACGACTTGGGATTTAGAGCTCGTCCTAGCTTGGCGTGCTGCCCTGAACGCAAACTCCGGGGGCTTATAAACGACTTGGGATTTAGAGCTCGTCCTACCTTGGCGTGCTGCCCTGAAGGCAAACTCCGAGTAAATCCAAAGACCCGAAATCCGAAACCGGAAACCCCAAACACCAAAACACAAAACCCTAAAACCCTGCAACCCTGAACCCTGAACCTGGAGCCTCTGAACCCGGATGGCTGTTAAACTAGGATCCTTATACGTTCTCCTGCTCCTAAACCCCTTTCTAACGTTCCCCTGAACTTCCGCAAGGGCCTGGCACCCGGTGCCGCGGCACCCGGTGCCGCCCTAAAAACGCGCACCTGTTCGGGGATGTATAAGGTTGGGGTTTCGGGTTAAGTGCTAGGGTTTGTTGCTTAGGGTTTGGGTTTAGAGTTTAGGCTTAGGGTTTAGGGTTTAGGGTTTAGGGTTTACGGTTTAGGGGTTTAGGGTTTAGGGTTTAGGGTTTACGGTTTAGGGCTTAGGGTTTCGGGTTGAAGGTTTTAGGGTCTTGGGGTTTCGGGTTTTAGGGTCTCGGGTTGGAGGCTTGTGGCTTTAGGGCTTTAGGGCTCTAGGGTTTGGGGGTTTTGGGGCTTTAGGGTTTTAGGGGTTTCAGGTTTTAGGGTTTCAGGTTCGGGTTGAGAGTTTCGAGCTCTGGGGTTCGCAGGTTTGTGTGGCCTTGGGTTCAAGGCTTAGGCTCATGTTAGGAGCTAAGTTCGATATTGCTGTGGCTTCAAGGCTTTATGTCTACCTGGAATGTGGTTTGAGCGGGGTGTTGCCCAAATCTAAGTCTATGTCTGTCGAGTGCACTCAAAGCACCTAAAATGTGGTTTCAGTGGGTGTCATGGCTTCTAGGGTCCTTGGCTTTCAGGGCGGGCATAGCAATAGTGACACGTCATCAGCCTGGAGTTGTGTTTAGTAATGATATGCCATGCTACAACATTGCAAAGTAGGTCCTGAGAACACCAGGCATATTCTGAGATACAAGACTAATTGAGCATTTTCGAAGACATCAGTTGTAATCAAGGCAGTGATACATATCCTCATATATATATATACATCTATATCACACAGTCAGTACATAAAAATAATATATATATATATACATATATATATATATGAGATATATGAGATATATCCATATATGTCTATATATATCTATATATATATATACATATGTGCATGTATGTATACATCTATGTAAGTACATACTGATGTAATTGCTTTTGAAATAAACTTGCTTTTGTACGGTACCATCTTTACCGTTCGGGCTGTAGCATAGCCCCTCAACCCCATGCCCCTGTGAAACCCTGAAGCCCGAAGCCCCAGGAAATAAACCCCACGACCCTAAACCCCAAAGCCTAAGGTTCACTCCAGAAAGTTGGCATATGGACTAATGGTAGGATCCCCTATAATTTACACAAAAGAGATTAGGATTATGATGTTCCAACTTTCTGGCTTCGATTTCAAAGCTCTAAACCCCTAACCCCCTAACCCAGAGCACCTAAACCCTGACACCGGCTACGCTTGCCAGGACCTGGCAATGTGGATCCAGCCGCTGGCCTGGGAAGATGGCTTCAAGGCTTGGATTCGAAGGAAGGGACTTGTTGTTGGCCGAGGGGTGTTCCCTTCCAATATAGAGGCCCGCATTAATTGCCGTTGCCATTTTGGGGGTTCGTTATTATTAGGAGTTCAAGGGTTTAGGCTTTAACGCTTTAGGGTTTGGGCCTCCTTCCAGGATCCCCCTAAATGCGCTCTAGCAAAGCCCTTGTGGTCCTTATTATTTCCCGGAATCAAAAAAACCCAGTTTCAAGCCTTCCAAGCTAGTTTGAAGCCTCCCCAAATTGAAAGTATATGGATTTCTACTAGAAACTTACACGTTAGAAATTATTATTATTATTATTATTATTATTGTAGTTATTATTTGTTGTTATTTCTATTTTTTTACATGGGTCTCTAGGATATATTACACGGTAGTTGGGGGGTTCTGGGCTTTTGTTCGAAGAGCCGGTGTTTGGGCGCTAATTTCAAGGCTGTCTGAGCACCGGCGAGGCCCTGGAACCTTGGGGCCGCGTCTGTAGCATTTAACCTAATCCCTAGACCCCAAAGCCAGAAATCCTAAACCTGCAACAAGCCAACCTAGGAAACCTTAGAGGTCTGAAGCGAAGCTCTCTGGGCTGCGACATTGAGGCCGGCACTTCGATGCATCCATGGGCGAGGCCTGAAACATTTGGTCCCACATCCCACGCTATCGGAGGAGGCTAGCATGGCTGGACCGGAGTAACAGAGCTGCTGACACAGGTAACCCGTCTTTTGGCACAAGCACTGGTGTTGTCCCCCCCACAGCCAATAGAGTCTTTATTGGCCTTTGTCGTGGATACCAGCTATGCCTGAATAGCATGTGAAGATACGGAATAAAATTCTGTGTCCGACTCATTCTCGGACGACTCATTCTCGGAAACAGACACTGGCTCCAGGAAGTCACCCCGGCGACGGAGTTCCAAGAAGATCTTTGCCACGGCATTCTCGCAGGTTCCTCTCAGCGCCTCGAACTCACACATGCGGCAGTAGAGCCACGCACTGGGCATGCTCGTCAGGCTGCCACCTGATACCTCGCCCTCGAGCTGCACGATTGCATCATCAGGAGTTTTTCCGGCTGCGGACACTCGAGCTTTGACTGGCGACAGCCCCTGGTCAATGGAAGCCGAGGACGTGCTGGCTGCATCCAGAACCGTTTCGAATGATGCCGAGGTCTCCAACATCCACCGATGCTCCGGAGAGAGGCTGTGCTGCGTGGCTCGGTTGAACTGCGCAAGCTTTGAGCGCTGTTTCTTCATCTTGTCTGTGCGAACCCACTTCGCCTCGCACGCACGCTTTGTCATGGCTGGGCTCACGACACTGTACTGAAGTGCACGCTGTAAGTTTTGAGAGTCTCCGTGGCTTTCACAAGTAGAAGGCTCACACAAGCTTCATTCAAGAGCAGGGCTTGCATACAACAACATGGATCTGTGACAGCTTAACCAAGCTGCCAACAATCACGGGCTCATCGCCAGAGCAAGGCATCGGAGTGGGCAAAAACTAGGCTAGTCTTCAAGATACTTTTTTTGCATCTGCCCCAACGCCCAGACAATCTGTACAGAGAAAGTGTTCATGCATCATGATTCCATGCATTCTGCATAGCATACGGAAGTCGCTGTGATGACTCGTGTCTGTCAATCAATGTCAATTGGACATACCTATTCAATGACCTATTCCCAGGGCCGTCCTGTCATAATCCAGACGCTGGATGTGTTGCAGGAACCCTTCAAGCGTCAAGAAGTATTTGTGCTCATTTAGGGCCCTCTGACTTTCTTTCTCGGCCTTTGTCACCAAAGCCAAGTACTTAGAAGTTTCCTTCCGATCAAGCTGCAGGCGCAACCACGCCGCCAATGTGTCGATTGCCTTCCAAGAGCACTTGGGCATTTGAAGGACCTGTTCCAGTACTGCTACAAGTGCAGGATAGGAGGCTGCAAAAGCATCAGAGATATAGATATGCTTCTTCATACCGATGGCAGGCAGATAGCCCGCCACTGCGCCAGCGGAACCCCCTGACTGCAAGAATTCCTGTGTGCCAATCATGCTGCCGTACATATACGCCAGCAGCTGCACTGCGTGCCCAACACGCGCGATGTCGGGGACCACAAACAAGTCCACCACCTCTGTCGGCTGAGCCCGACGCATGTTGTACTGGAGAAGAATCCTGTCCATCAAAGGGTCGGGTGTCTGGAACCGCAAGCAGACAGTCTTGCCAAAGAGGCAGAACACAGGACGGGCCATGCGTCTTTCGAACCTGTCTGCTTCCTGCTCTCGCTGGCAACGACGTCGACTCTCCTCCTCCTGGACTCGGGGCTTAGGGATTAGGGAGTAGGGTTTGTTTGGGGGAGTGTTGGTTGATGATAATGAAAATACGAACAGAAGGTAAGCGTTTCAAGGGTCACTATTTAGCCTGTCTGTGTGTTTTGTAATGTGCAGACACTGGTCTATTTATCTCAGGATTGTGCAGTCCCCGGATCTTAAAATAAACAGACGAGCATGAAGGCCTGCCTCCAGGTGGTCAGCATGCCACTCAAGGTCAGGTGTCAGCTCGTGCTCCAGAAGATGACCGCGGTGTGCTGCATCGACTTGCTTCTCGAAACATAACGTGTCCTGGCGGCGAGCTTCTGCATCATGCCTGGGTGTCCATTTCTCTGCAGCCTGCCTCAGGGCTGCCCCTGCGACACTCTCCACTTGCACATCTCCAGTAGGATTTTCTGCAGCGAGCAATGCCTCAACCTGCGACCGTCTCTCCCTTAGCCAAGTTTTCAACGCAACCGGTGCATCCGCTGCAAGCATCTTGCTCGTCTTGAAATAACCCCGCAAACGATGTCCTGACCATAGCGCAGACAAGTTTAAAGTAATGTCAGGGTCTAGGGTATATGAGTTAGGATTTAGGGCTCAGGCTAAAGGTGTTATGGCCCGAGGCAAATGTCCTGTAGCGCGGGGCTTGCCGTACAAGCGGGCCCATACTTGAGAGGCTTCCTGAAAAAGGTTCTCTTCATCGGCGATGTGTTCAACATGAGTTTGTAGCTCATCCAGTTCCCTTTGCTCTGCAATGGGTCGACGCTTGGATGATAACCAATCACGCACTGAGAAATTTTGCTCAACCCCGGAGGAACTGCAGACCCACGCAGCGTATGCTTCCAGTAGCGGTCCTAGCCCATCGAGCGGGTACCTCGCACGGGATCTACGAGTCACTTGCACCGCATGTTGCCACGCTTCCAGATTCGTGCAGCGGTGCATCTCTTTCTGTGCTTCAGCCACTCCCACCAGCATTGTGAACTCATAGCGGCAACAATCCACGTCGATTTGTAGGCCTCTACACAGACGCGCCAGGTCCTCTGTGTGCATGTCTGCTCTTTCCTTGCACAGCTGCTCCCTGGAAGCATCCCCACCCCCCATGCCGGAAAGGGCAAGAACGCGGAAGCAGCACATCAGGTCGAACGATGGGAATTCCGCTGCAATGACTTTGGAAGCCAGCCCGGTCCATGCGGCCATGTGCTTCAAGTTCTGCGCGAGCACTGCAGCCGACAGACCCCCATGGACCCCAATCGTTCTTGTATGATTTTTATCGATCCAGATGGACTGTGTCTTCGCATGCTGTAGCATCAAGCTGGTGAAGCCGGTGTCGACACATCGTTCTGCAATGAAAAGAGTCGCTGTATTCTTCAGAAATCGCTGCAGATGCGAGTGAAGCAGGGCAGTATCGATGGCTTCCCTGTCGAAAGCACGCGTCAGCTGCATTGCCTCGTCCATGGCATCGGCAAGCATGCCCGCCAGAACCATGCGGGAAGCCCCCTCTGGCCCGCTCATGAAATCCAAGAATGGATACGCTGCCTTTCCCTGCGGGTCGTTCTTCCGTTGCGTCCACGCCTTGATTGCTGTCAAAAGCACACTCCGAAATGTCAGGGCACAGATAGCGAAAGGTTTGCTTGTCGAGTCGAAGCGATGGGCAGCGTGGGAGAGAGAGCTCTGGACCTTAATCAGTTGCTCCTCCTCTGCTTCGGCTTGGAAGTGCTCATACCACCCCTGGAGCAGTGGAGAGAACTGGATAGTCTTAAACCAAGAACAGAAGATCTTGAAAATCTCCGTCAGTTCTGGCGCCGCCGTCCATGGGCGCTGTGCCACCCTGAACGACAGCGTGTCAGGTAAGGGGTTCAGGACTAGGGGGTTCGGGGATTGTTATAATATGGAGGGTCCAAACTCATTGCCTAGACTTTCCCCCAGGCGCCTACGAGAGGCATGAGCTTTGTCTCGATTAACAAAGGTTAGATTTGGGAATAGCGGCAGCAGGTCATCCAAGGACGCTGGAGTACGCTGACTCTCCTGAGCAGCGAGCATCTCATCGCCAGCTGCATCAGAATTCCATACAACTGTGATGGAACGAAGATGCTCATACAGGTCGTGATCAAGCCATGGCTCCTCCTTGACTGGGGAGTCCCCATTAAGAGGTGCTCCACAAAGGCTGGTGGCAGCATTTGCTAGAATGGATTTTAGCAGACCCAGAATATTCTGGTGCCCAGTCTCCTTGCTGCGGCGCATGCCCAGCACACCTCTCCGAACAACCAGCTCTGCAGTCACCGCAGAAAAACGAACCAGCAGCCGGGTCTTCGCTACATCCATGGACAGCGTCACACAAGTTGCCGCACGAAGGTGCTCTCTGTGTCGCTGGCGAATTGCTTCGGCAAGACAACACAACATAAGTCTCACTTTCCCTCTACCCAAAGCCTCGGTTGCCGGTGTTTCTGTCTGGCGTTTCTTGCGCAACAATGCCCACAAAGATCTCCAAGAACTGGCCGGTGGAGCCAACTCCTCGGTCGGAGGGGTTTTGCCTTCATAAATTGCCAAAGCCAGCGCATGACCCGGGCTATCCGCATGACGCCGCAGGTTGCTTGGTTTCAGAGACGATACAGACGCCAATTCGAAATTGGCATATGTGCTCTCTATCAAACGGCAATCGGATGGAACATCTGGGCACTGCTGCAGGTAGCGGTAGCAGGGCAAACATCCGACTCGCAGACCATCCTCGGCATGCCATGCTTGCAACCATGAAATTCCTGACTGCATCAGGTGTTCTTGCTGCAATTGGTCGCCATGCTTTTCCCACCTGCACTCGGGGCAGTGTTGAACCCCCAAGAGCAGTGCTTGCCAAGCTTGCCAGTATCGCGTGCTTCCCAGTCCCCATCCGGCGCACGCTTCATATCAGCTAAGTGCTAACACACACAACTGACAGCTTGATCTGGAACACCGACGCAAGACAACAGCGTCCATTTCACAAGAAAACAGACAGCTTAATATAGGCAGTCAGGCAAGAATGTCTTTGTCAACTTTGAGACAAGAAGCACAGATTGCAAAATCTCAGACCCTTAAACCCCACAAACCATCTTGGAAGGCTTGAAGCCTCGATATTGCCCAGCCTTCTGGAAGGACATAGCGGCGGCCCAGCTTGGGCCTCCAAACGTCAGAAGCTGAGTTTTCAAGGGCTGTAGGGACACTCTTGTGAGGTCAGAGCTTTCTTGCGAGGGCTGTTTCGATGCTTAATGAACTTGAAACTAGTCTCGTATTTTCGTACCCGGAACCTGAAAGGGCAGCAGCATCACGACATCTCGGGCGGGTTTTGCGTTGGCAGGATCGCAGGACTCATTTCATGGGGTACGAGAAAACACAGCCTTCTTTTTTGCGTGCTGATATTTTAATTGGGCCCCGCTAATCTTCAAAGTATCGTGCCGTGTTAAAAGCTTTATGAGTCCGAGCCCCAAAACCACGCCTCCTTGTCCACAGGTTGTGGCAGTAGACAGCAGTATCATTCCTCCCGGCATGGGAGGAAGGGCGCCCCCTATATAATATTAGACATACTGACCAATAAAGCTCATGGCTTCACCTTTGATCTCGTGATTGTCCTAACTATAAACCATCATATTGACGCGGCTGCTAGTCCCGACTAATCACGAAAAAGAAGTCGCCTTTGTGCGCCTAAAGGCGCCTTTAGCCTTTCAAACCGAACTCCCCACTTAACGGCCTAAAACCCCCAAACTCCCAACTCAACGGATCACTCCAATCATCGCTCCAGCTCTCATCCATCGCATGTACCGCTTATCTCAACCATCCCCCTTTCAACCCCAACTCCCCACTTAACGGATCATCCCAATCATCGCTCTCACCGATCACATGTACCGACTATCTCAACCATGTGGTACTCGTCCCATATCCACCCCATCAACCCATACCATGCATTCCGATCCGATCCAAAAACCCAAACCCTGTCCGACGACTGCAGGATGGGCGGTCCTCTTCGTCCGAGCCGCTGCAACTCCGGCCACCCACCGGTCGCCACCGGTCGCCACATGAAGTGGCAGGATCAGGTTAGGAGGTCTAGGGCAGTGCCTAGCCTAGCCTAGATCTACATGCTCGAAGAGGGGCTTGTGTTAACTTACTTTGGGTGGTGAGTTTCTTGGGTGTCCTAGTTCTTTCTCTATGCCTCTTCATTTGATATTCTCTCTGTACCTCTTTACTCTCTTCTACGTTTTCTTGAGATGCAATTTAAAAGCGTGTTTGCTCCTGCTGTCTGCTCCTGCTAGCTCTCGCCTGTCGTGCTTCTTGTTTCTTGCTCGATGTTTTCGTGCTTGTAGGCTGAAAGTGACCGCTGTTTGTGTTCCACGTCGGTCTATTCCTTTTAGCTCGTCTTTTTGTACTAATTATTGCCTGGCTTGAATCGGCGTGATTCGACGTAATCTGTTTGGTGTCTTCGCTGGCTCCTACATGTACTTTTAGTCTGCTCTTTCTTCTCTCGTCCTTTCTTTTTTTTTGCTTTTTGCATATCCTTTCACATCGGCTCCCCTGCCACACCCGCTCCTCTCAACAATCCGCCAAGGTTAGCTCATGTGCCCGTGATCATCNNATCACGGGCACATGAGCTAACCACTCGGTAAATTTGTCTTTGAAGAAGGCCTTCCCCAATTTGGTGACATGGTACTGCCCGTTGGCCTGCAGGGACCTCACGAGCTTTCGGGCACCGCCCCTCGTTAGGATGTAATCGCTGGGTCCGTCCCGGATGAGAGGCTGGGTCT